CTGGAAGACAAGATATATGCCTCTTGATCTACTTTTGCCTTAAATTATCATGGCCTCTGGTAGTAATCCAGTCATTCACAAAAATGAATTGCAAAAGAAATGTGATGTGGAAAAAGATGAATATAGGTGTTTGTAGAAATATTTATGACATCAGAATTAGATGAAGTGGTCATTATATTTACAGAGAATACTGTGTAGATATTAAAATTATCTAGTTATGCTTCAGTAAGAAAATATTTAAAAGGAGGCAGAGGCAGGTGGATCTCTGTGTTCAAGATCAGCCTGGTCTACATAATGAGTTCTAGGACAACCAAAGCTACACAGCAAGATCTTGTCTCAAAAGGAAAAAAAAAGAGAGAAAGAGAATATTTATAAATAATTCATACTTTTTTCTATTTTCAATTTTTAGCACAACTATATTTTATTACAATTAGAAGAAAATACTACGTGAATTTATATTCCCACTGTGTCTGTGGTTTCACTCCCCAAGATTCCATTTACCAGTGGTCAGACATAGTTCTGTAATATTTAATGGAAAATTCCAGAAATCAACTTCTCACTTTGCATCACTGGTGGTAAATCACTCCCTTCCCCTAGCCACCCAGTAGCAAACAAATTATCAGATAGACTCTCAACAGCTTGTGTTTAACTCTTATTTAGTGGTCTCAGAGCTCGAGAGACACAGTGCTGGCAGTTTGGCCTGCAAAGCAGCCTAAAAGTGCCCTTGAATATCTGTCTCAGAATACCAAAGGAAAACCAAACACAGATATTGGCAGCATTGAATTTATGTAACTTTAGTTTGTTAAGAGTCTGTGTAGTAATTGTTCTATTATTGATTGCCATTTAATCTCTTCCAGTGCCTTACTTAGAAGTGTGCTTTCTTATAGGTATGTATTTAAAAGAAACACTGTAGAGATTGATACCATCTGAAATTGCAGGGTATCCATTGGGAGTTGTTGAATGTGTGTCTCATGGACAAAAGGAGACTTGTAAAATAAAACAATTCTTGTCCCTTAATTTTTATAGCAATTGATAAGGAAGCTCAGACCCTGGCAGGTTGGGTAACTTGTCTGAGTTCTGGCAAGCAAGGTTTGAGTTCAGGTAATTTGGCTGTGCGTTTCTAACCTTAAATTGTGTCTCTTGGCCCTTCAGCCATATAGTAGATCTTAGTGTCTGGTTTCCTGGAGACAGAGAGCTTCGTAACTCATCCTAGTGGGTCAAATGTAAGCCTTCTGAAGCTGGAGGCTGCCACTTATGAGGCCATGGATCCTGTGATTGAGCATCTATGGCAGCCTGCTTTCTGCTGCTCCTTTCCCCTCTTCCTTACTTTTGGCTTTTCCATCTCTCCTTTTCTTTTAAGAGAGTGTCTCACTAGGTGACTCTACCTGACCTGCAGCTCACTGTGTAGATTAGGCTGGTCTTGAACTCAGAGTTCTCTGACTCCTCATTGCGAGTAATGGCCTGCACTCCCATACCTGGCCTTTTAGATTTTTTTATGGTTTTGTTTTGTTTTGTTTTTAATTAAATAGATTGCGATGCAACCAATACACAGCTGTCTACACCCATTTGAAATGTAAAACTTTTGGTTTTTGAGAAGGTCTTACTCTGGAACCCACTTTCTAAAATTCAGCCTAAACTTGACATCCTCCTGTTTCAACACATGTATGTCTACATTGTGAAGTCACTACAATTTAAAAACCAGTGATTTCCATCTTCTACCAGAGGTCCTTTGGTACCACTCAGCTGCTCTCTGTAACTGAGATTCGTTAGCATTCTCTGGAATTTAATTAGTGAAGCTATAGATATTAATCATAGTTTTCTCCTTTCACATTAGCTTTTTCCACTTAATTTAGAGTCATTCTCTTCATAGTATGTCTCAATAGGCTGTTTCTTTCTACTGATGAATGGACTTCATTGTATGAACATTGTTTCCGATGATATGCAGATTCCACATCTTTTTTTATCCATCGTGCATTACTCCCAGTTTTATGAATAAAGCTGTTGTAAATGTGCTTTATACTTTCTTGGGTATATAGAAGAATATCCAAGTAGCGTGTTAGCTACATGTTTAAACTCTAAGAAACTAAAGAATTATTTCCGCATAGTCTCTCATTTCCCTTTCCAGCTGGGTGTGAAACAGACAGCTCTGCCTTGTGTCATAGCTCCACCTGTGTGTCTTTGAACACGCTTTGCTCTGTCCAGGGTGTAGGTGGGGTGTGGTAATAGTGCTATTTCATAAGTTAATTCACATTTCTTGGAGTGGTAATCCATTATCTTTTCATGTACTTCTGGGCCATTCTTTGAAGAGTTTATTCCAGTCTTTAGCCTGGTGGCCTTATTCTTGAATAATATATATTCTTCACATATTTTGAATGCAAGTCTCTAAACATTTTATACCAATATATTGCTTCTGTCCTTATTTTCTAAACAGTATCTTTAAAAGTGAAGGTTGATTGTTTAAATTTATTATTTTTATTTTATGTATATGTGTGTTTTGTCTGCATATATTCAGCGCCAAAGGCATTCAGTGCCCTCAGAGGCAAGAAGAGGGTATTAGATCCCCTGGAACTGGAATTAAAGAGGTTTGTGAGCCTCCATGTGGTACTGGAACTCAGACTTGGGTTCTCTGGAAGAGCAGCCAGGGCGGGCTTTTAACCACTGAGATGTTTTCAACCCCCTTGGTTAATTTGTTTAAAGTAAAAGGAGGATTTTTGAGGTTTTGTTTTGTTTTGTTGTTTTTGGTTTTTTGAGACAGTGTTTCTCTGTGTAGCCCTGGCTGTCCTGGAACTCACTCTGTAGACCAGGCTGGCCTTGAACTCAGAAATCTGTCTGCCTCTGCCCCCCAAGTGCTGGGATTAAAGATGTGTGCCACCACTGCCCAGCTAAAAGAATTTTTAAAGATGTATGTGTTTTTATTTTATGAGTGCCAGCCTGCATGTGTGTGTGTATGTACCACATGTATGCAAGTTCCAGCAGAGGCCAGAAGAGGGCATCAGATCTGGAACTACAGGTGGTACTAAGCCACCTAGTATGGGTGCTGGGAACTAAAAGTGGGTCTTGTGCAAGATCAGCAAGAGCTTTTAATTGCCAAGCCATCTCTCTAGACTCAAAGGCAGTTTGTGGGGTGGAGGTAGCGGGGTATGTAGATAGTTACTTTCCTGTTGTTCTGACAAAACACCATAACCAAAAGCAACTCACAGGTGAAAGCATTTATTTTGGCTTATGGTTTCAGAGTGTAAGTGTCCATCATGCAAAGAGAAATGTTAGCAAGCAACAGGCATGGTGGTAGCAGCTGGCAGCTGACTGAACACTTCTCCTTATACACATGAAGCTGAGGGTGAACTGGAAGTGGGGCAAAGCTATAAACCCTCAAAGCCCCTCTGTGAGTGCCACCTCAGAGAGATATAGTCCTTCATCAAGACTCCACAGCCTACAAATTCCACAATCTTCTCAAACGGCACCACTAGCTGGGAACCAGGTGTTCACACACGTGAACTTGTCTGAAGACATTCTCATTCAGACTATTGCTATCCTTTCTAAGCAGTCTGGGTCTACCTGTGTCTTCTAGTTTTACTCTTAGATGTAGGTTCACAATTCACTAGGAATTAAATTTTAACACATTGAGTTAGGTAGATGTTACTATTCTCTTTAAAAACTCTGAATCTCTGATTGTTTAGCACTATTAGTTGAAGGTTTCCCATCCATTTGAGTTGCCTTGACTCTTTCATCGATTTTCTGAGTACCTCTTTATTGCTATAGCTTTATGACGAATTGAAGTCAGTCAGCCTAAGTTCACCAGTTTTATTCTTACCAAGGAATGCATTGTCTCTTCTAAGAATGTCCCATTTTCATATAAGTTTATAACCTGCAAGGGCGTGGAATTAGCTTAATAGTAAACGTTTACCCCATAAGCATGAAGACCTGAGTTTGATCCCTGATGTCCATGTAAAAAGCCAAGCATGATGGCATGCACTTTTAACATCAGTGCTTGGAGGTGGAGCGAGGAGGTCACGAGGGTTCACTGGCCAGCCAGCCTGGCCAGTTAGTACAATCCAATTCATTGCAAGACCTTCTCTTAAAATATAACGTGGGGTACAATTGAGGAAGATGCCTGATGTTGACTGACTGCTGGTCTCACATATATATTCATGACCACACGCATGCACACACAATTTTTAACCTGCTTATCAACCATGGGGGAGTTGATTGAGGTCCCACTAATTTGGGAGAGAGTTAATGATGGGTCTTGCAATTCAGGAACAAGGCTAATACTATATATAAGAAATATCTGCTTGGGTCTGAAGAAATAGCTCAGAGGTTAAGAGCACTGGCTGCTCTTCAGAGGTTTAGGGTTTAATTCCCAGCACCCACATGGTGGCTCACAGACATTCTTGCAGGCAAAACACCCATGCACATAAAGTTAAAAGAAAATGCCTGCTTATTAGCCTCTGTACCAAATGTACTTTATGACATAGAGAATGATTGACACCAGATAGTACAAGATCTTGGATAAAAATGAATATATAAATAAGAATTGTAGGATTTTCTTTCTGGTTTTTGGACAATGTTTTTTAGACAATGTCTCTATTATATAGCCCTGGCTGTCCCAGAATCCATTGTGTAAACCAGCCTGGCCTTGAATTCACATAGATCTACCTGCCTGAGATTAGAGGCATGTACCACCCCTTCCAGTGGATTTTCCTTGTGCCCTGTAGATTTCTCTGTTCATTTTGAGGTCATTACACTTATCGGCTAATGAATTAAGAGGACTTTGGATTTATTTCCTCCAGGGTCTTATGTGAGCTAGACAGACATTCTCCTGTTATAGTTTTAGGGACTTTAAGCATATCATATATATACATCAGTCTTCCATGTGGTATGGGTGTTAGGCAGAATGCTGACATCCACAAACACAGAAGGAAATGACAAATTCACACCTCAAACTAGATTAAATAAACTTACTGTACTAACCTGTTTTCATTTAATCCACTCTTTAACAGATATAAGACACCCTGAAGAACTTTCTCTCTTAAAAAAACCCAGAGATCCTACAAAGAAAAAAAAGAAAAAGCTAGATGACCAGTCTGAAGACGAAGCGCTGGAGTTGGAAGGACCACTGATCATGCCTGGATCAGGTGAGACCCATACTCAGCAAAGGCAGGACCAGGAGGCTCCCAAACTGTGTGTCTTCTGTTAAGGGTGTGGGCTCATAGAGGTCAGGAGAGGGGTCCAGTCCCCTTCAGCCTCTCTCCTCAGGCTCAGTGCTGTGCCGTCCTGCCTGTCACCCTGTCATAGGCACTAATTGGACCAATGGAGAGGATGCTGGGGCTTTGCTCAGAGAGTTAAAAAGGGTACTCTACAACTGGACTCGGTTCTTTAGTTTGCAGAAATTGAAAAGTTTTTAGGTAGACTGTGGAAAACACTATTTTGTTGATACATTAGTACCTAAAACCTGACTTAATTGCTTAAGAGCTTTCTGTGTTTTGCATATCCTGGTCTCTTTGCATCCCTATCTTTTTCTTCAAGAGTCCTTCCTTTGAGAAATCTCATTCTTGTGTCCTCACAAGACAATGCACTTACTACTGAAGTTGCTTACAGGCTAGTTGGAAAACAGTTTTTATATTTAAAGGCATTATACATAAATGCTAAGGAACTAGAAAATGTGCTAGGAATTCAGAGGCCAATATTACTCATCTCAGGTTATATTCAGTTTTATGGGTTGAGGAATTTAGTTTGTGAATTAAGTTTGTTTGATTTTTGAGACAGAGTTTGTGTAGACCAAGCTATCCTTGAACTCACAGAGATCTGCCTGCCTTTTTCTCCTGAGTGCTGGGATTAAAGATGTGGCAGAAGTCAGAATTTTATTGTAATCAAAAATGGCAGAAGGAATGATAACAGACAAAGATCATCCTGGTAAAGGAAATTCCAAGAGGTAAATACCTCAGCTGAGCCATCTTTTGGGGGAGACGCCTCCAGAGAGGTTGAAGACCACAGTGGAGGGTATCTGATATTAATGTGTCATCAAGCAATTGGTTTCTGAAATTATTTACAAAGGAAAAGTATTTTAGAAAGACTATTAAAGCTGGTCACTGGTGGCGCACGCCTTTAATCCGAGCACTTGGGAGGCAGAGGCAGGCAGATTTCTGAGTTCGAGGCCAGCCTGGTCTACAGAGTGAGTTCCAGGACAGCCAGGGCTACACAGAGAGACCCTGTCTCGAAAAACAAAAAAAGAAAAGAAAGAAAGATTATTGAGTTCACTCCTAATCAGTAATTTGGGAAGATATGGGTGGTAGAGAGCTCACACACTCACAGTAAAAGAGAATAGTTACAACAATTTTTAAAGCAACATTCTGGTCCTCCTTCAGTGTTTCTGAGGAGGCCCTAAAACTAGGAATAAAAGCCATGAAGGAGGTTGTTGTTTACAGCAAGGGCCTTCTAACCACTCCTGAGTCTATGCTAATGAGTAACCTTTGGAAAGGCTGAGGAATGGGGACTGGTTATCAGAGAAGCCAACTCTAGGATTAGAGGTTTGGTGCCACCTGAGCCTCCAGACATCTGTGGAAGGGAAGGCTGGAGAGTGCGTTGGTCACTGTTACAGTTATGAGTACCTGTGGCTAGTAGCTCATAAAAGACATTTATCTACTGATAGTGTGGTGGTTAGAGGACATGATGCCAGTGTGGTTAAAGATCACCGTGGATGAGCAAGAGAGACCAGAGTAGGACTCAGAGGCCAAACCTTTAAAACAACCCCTCAGAAACACTAGTCAGAATCCTGCAAGCATCATCTCCTTCTGAAGGCAATGCTCCAGAGCCCTGGTCCTGGCTCTTACGGGTCCTGCTACTTCTCAATGCTGCCACACTGGGAACCAGACTTCACCCCTTTGTCCTTGGAGAACAGTCACAGTCAAACCATAGTGATAACAGGAACTATCATGCCTTTGTGAATAAGCCTCCATCAGAGCCCAAAAGAAAGGGACTCAGAGACTCCAGGTTGGTGACCTTACCCAGTAGTGAGGGAGTTTGTGAGTTCTGTCAACCACCCTAGGGAATTATGAAGACAGTTATAGGAGCTCTGATGGATAGCCAGGATTAGAAGCTCATGTGAGCACATGAACAATACCTGGCCCCAGAAGTCACTCAGTGTTAACAGATAACAGTGGAAGATCCCTTCCAACCAAAAGAAAGGATACTTTAGGGCCAGATAATGTCTTCAGAACATACATACATACATACATACATACATACATTTTTTTTTCCTTTTTTTTTTTTTTTTAATCTAGGGCTAAGTATGTGGGTGTCTTTAGTGTGTCTACTGGCCAGAGTTCTGAATCCCTTTTTGTAAGTGTATGTAGGGGGAGGGGTGCACATGTGTGCAGTACACGAAGATGCCAAAGCACTCTGTCAGATCTCCTGGATCTGGAGTTTCTGGTTGGTTGTGACCACATTCTTACACCACTGCCTCTGCTCCTGTAATTAGTGCTCCTTACTTCAGCGAGTCAGTTCTGCTTTTCAGTTGAGTGGAGCCTTGATGTAGCCCGGCTGGGCTGGAGCGTACCGTGTACATCATTCTAATCTCACATACCACAGTGGGGACCCTCAGCCCTCCTCTGCCTGCAGGCCTGAGCCACCACACCCACTAGGTTTTCTCCTTTGCGTGGGTGCAGGATCACGGTCCACTGTAGCTTAGAATTCAGGATGTTCTCCTCCCCTGCCTAATATTGGTGATTCCCTTTTCAGTCAGACAATAGCTGATCTTTATTCTGGACCATGCATCGTTCTTTAGTCCTTTCCTCAGGGTTGACCTTTCCAGCAGCTCTGAGTGTCCTAAGGACACCACTGGACGGCTTTGCAGGAGACCTTTTAAATGGTTTTTTTTTTTTTTTTCATTTTGAAATTTTTTATGTGGGAGTTTTTTGCCTTCATGCATGTTTGTGCATACCATGTGTGTGCAGTGCTCACAGAGGCCAGAGGACGGTGTCAGAACCCCTAGATTGGTGTTACAGACAGTTGTGAATTACCATGTGGATGCTGGAATCTACCTGGGTCCTCAGGAAGAGCAGTCATGCCTACCTAGCCATCTGCAGCCCCTTCACATCTTTTTAGGAAAGGAAAACCAGGTTTGTGTTGAAAGGTTGCAGTCGTCAAAGGCCATGTTCCTCTAGCAGCTTGTTTCCTGAACAGGACACACAGAACTAGTGTCTAACTCACCTCAGTTCTGAGTAATAGGTAGCATGAGAAACTCAGGCTGAGTCAGTTGCCTGGGATCAGACACCGTAAAGGAAAGCTGAGGTCTGTCAGGTCTGTCCTTCCCAAAGCTAGCGCTCCAACCATGTGGCCACATGCCCCAATCCACTACCTGGAACACAGGCCAGAATCTAGCATTTACTGATTTTTTAAAGACTTTGATTACTGTAAGGGAAAAAACCCTTCCGTTCCTTAAGGAATGTTTATACTGTACCTACACTGTGTATGTAGTAATGAGAACAGCGTGTCATCATCCACATTAGAAGCTGCAACGTGGAAGATCTTGTCAGCCTTGAGTACTAGAATCTGAGAAGCTGAGTGAGCTTTGTAGGCCAGAAACCAATGGTGACTCTCAGTGCACACAGGAATTCCAAGACACGGAAATGAGTGGAAATAGCTTCTGAGTATGAGAGACACAGGAGAGCGCTGTTTATGTAGACAGTAGTGGATTTGGAAGCATCAAGTAAGTTTGCCGTGGTTTATTTTCTAGGCCTTTTGCTCTGCGGTTGTGCTAATAGTGACTGTCAGAGGGTGGCTGAGCCAAGGTCACTTAGGTTGATATTCCCCTTTTAGAACACACTCTGGTTTGGTAGAAAAATAAGTGACAAAAGAGTCATAAAGAAGCTATGTGGAGGTTCTTCCTCCACATTGCTGTCTGACTTGTAGTGGCAAGCATGTAGCTGTGTATTACCAATGCAAACAAGGTCATTTTTATTACAGTTTTGTGTGTGTGTGTAACCTGTCAAATTCCTGGCTACATTGCCCTGCTTGGCATGAATTCACTATGTTACCAGAGTTGGCCTCAGACTCTGGACAGTTCTCCTGCCTTAGAGTCCCCACAGCCGGGGTCAGCAGCTATGTACTACCACACAGACTGAAAGCAGTTTTTCAAAGGAAGAACATTTTTGCAGCATAGTCAGTAATTTTCAAAGAAACTTAATATCAGTTTATTATACAAGTGGAAATGATCTCATTAGAAACTTTCCTTGAAAAAAACAATCAGAAGGCATCTAGGAAAAAAGAAAATCTGTGTTCTATACTAATATTGAATATAATCAATATTCTGTTTACTAGGAAGATTATTTATGTAGGATGCAAATTTTTTCCTATCTGGACCTTGACCACTTTAAGTATCAAAAAAATTTTAAACCTATCCTTTAAAGAACAAAAGATATATATGTATACATGTACATATATACACACAGTAAATATTCAAATACTAAAGGTTGAAATTTTCTTCAATTTATTTTTTCCAGTTAACATGATATATATATATATATATATATATATATATATATATAGAGAGAGAGAGAGAGAGAGAGAGAGAGAGAATTTTTCCTTCAATCAGTAATATGCTTTAATGAGCTTCATATTTTCTATTACAGAAGTCAGATACTGAATATAATTTCATTATAACAAAGTCAAATCATACAAAAAATAAGTTATTCTGATAGTGAAAGTCACTTTGAAACTTACTCTTTGGCTATTCCCTTCCAAGAGCCATCCATTTCTTTATTTTCTTCCTTTTCAATGTTTGTTATATAAACACGGGCAAATAGGAAAACAAGATAGTTAGGGTTAGCCTTTGAGCTGGACCTGAAGGAATTTAAACTATGCATACCCTCTGACCCCACAGTGCAACTAGAATTGGGAAATAAGTACAAAACTATTTACTGAAGCTTCTTTTATCGTGGCACCAAAATTCTAAGCAATCAGACGCCCAAGGGTCGGGAATGGTTTGAGTTGCAGTACATGA